TCAGCCAATCAGAGTTGAGGGTGTTTATATGACGCCGTGGGAGACGTCTGTTGGATATCCTCTGCATATCTATGAGATGCACGACGACATCGTGAGAGCGGTTACGACACTTCCGGTAGTTTAGGAGGTTTGTTGTGTTTAAAGAAGACTGAGGTTTTGAAACCCCAACTTCGCAGGCTGGATGTTACGAAAGATTAGAGTAAGGCCATTTTTTAGATGGTGTTAGTGTACATTTTGTTAGGATTACTTATTTTGGTCAATACAGGGGAGTAAACACCAAGTTTAAGTTAATCACGTAAATCTCACCTAACGATAAATTAAAATGCTTTTTTTATACACAATTTGTAAAACGATAGCAAATACAGTAAAGTGAAGAGGAGGCACCAAGATGTTAACGAAATTCCATTTCACAACTGCTGCTCGAGGATTGAGTAAAAATAGTATAGAATCTTCTACTATGCTGTATTATAACCACTATCGAGTTTGCAAAACATATCTCGTTGATTTTTTTTCTCCAATGGCCTACATGGAACCTCCACACACCGGTGGCATTGTAATGATATCCGTCACAGCCTTAACAACCACAACCTGTTGTCGAGGAAGGAGATCCAAGAGATTGAGATGGCCGTGACATTTGTAGGACCTGCCAGACCATCTTGCATTCGCAATCATGCTATGCAGTTGTATAAATCACTCGTCACAATTCTCTAATAAAAAATAAACCTTAACTTGGCGGGTTAGTATGCAGCAGATGTCTAGAATAATTGTTGTATTTAAATAATATTTCTTTAATATTGTTGTTAAATTTTTTAGTAGTTATACAACAGTTAGTATGGCGTTAATTTCTCTTTCACTAAGTAAACATATTAGAATTTAAAACGGCATTGTGATAAAATCATAAATATGAGATTCAATTTTTTCACTCTCTTCATCTATACACAGTACGATCAACGTGTCTTTGTACGTAATTAACAAAGGAAAATACAATACTAATTGTCTTAGTATATTTAAATAAATGCAGCAGAAATCAGACATGCATAGGCCTTTGCACAAATGTAGTTTTAATGTTGATGTTTGTATGTCACGCGCAGATGTATAACCTGTTTGAAATATTATAGCGAAAATTAATGTAATTGAGTTAACAGTCATGACTGGAAAATTGATCATTGATATCGAGTTCATTGGAATTGTAGTCACCGTTCTTTTAGTTACCTGTTTAGATATTTCCTAAACATTCAACTCCAAGGTGAAGCCCAAAGGAGGTATGTCGAACCCTGTTCCTATAACCGCAGGCTGTTTTGCAATTCTGCAATTATTTGACACAATCTCTCAGTTTAGAAGTTGACCTTTGCCGCGGCGCTGTCTCAGTGCTCTCATTTTGCGCCAAAACTACAGCAGACGGGTTTGAGATTACGCAACACGTCTGCCGGTCAGCTGTTTGTGGCGATCTGACAGCTGATGTTCTTACACATGGTACGCTAAACTGACAGATTTATAATAAACTAGCTGTACCCGCGGGCTTCGCCCCGTTTAACTTCATAAGTATTCGCATGGCTCATTCACGTCCTGGTTGAAGTTCGTTCGCTACGCTCACTCACCTTTTGGTTGGAAATTAGCTGTTGTCATAAATAAAAAAAGAAATTAATAGTGCTGCACCCTGTTGGTAATCCTTGTAACTTTTATGCTGTTGAACATCATAGAACAGAACCAACTTGTTTAATTGAGACAGCTGTTAAGATTCATTAATTCCTTTTAAATATGAAAAATCATAAGATTAACATGGGGAACTACAGAGCCACTGGGGCGGAGCCCGAAAGTGTTTTTGAGATAAGAATATGCTTTAATGTTAATCGGGAATGTGAGCTATCAGCATGCCAAATTTCAGCCCAATGCGTCCAGTAGTTTATGCGTGATTGAGCAACACACACACAAACATACACACAAACTCACAAACTTTCAGATTTATAATATTAGTAAGATGCTTCAATTTTGAGATGTTAAAATTAATATTGAGATTTCCTATAATTAATTGGAAATGGATGTAGTTGTTAATTTATTTAGCCAAATGGCAACATTGTTTGTTGAACACAAAATCTTATATGTCCTTTACATCGATATTTCTGAACTGTTATATTTCTGATAACTGATATTTCTGAAATATTTCTTACAGGGTAACAATTTAAATTTAGCTCTCATTTGTACAGTGCAGGCAATGCTTATAAAATGCCTCCAGAATTTGTTAATTAAATACAAGCCAATCAAATAAAGAAAGTAAATCAAAGAAACGGCTTATAACACTTAAAGATATATTTGCGCTCATACTGTTACTCACAAGACGGTAAATATACAAACAAGATGGTAAGTGGTGATCGATTTCGATTGGACACTCCATTCATCATCAGATCCAATAGGCGAATGTATTGGGTCTGATGATGATTGGAGTGTCCAATCGAAATCGATCACCACTTACCATCTTTTTTGGTATATTTACCGTCTTGTGAGTAACAGTAAAAGCGTTAATATATTTTTTAAGTGTTATAAGGTGTTTCTTTTATTTACTTTCCGTAAATTTAATAACACGTACATTAAGTTATTTAATCAAGAAGTTATTCAATCAAATATAAACAAAAACACTGAAATTGGTGATTGTAACACAGATGTTCGATATCAAAGCAGTTAATTGTGAACAAATATTCACGTTATTATAAAATTCATGCAAAAATATTGTTTACAATGAAGATTAAATGGTTTCCAACAGATGGAAAATGAATCGAGTTTAACAAAAATGTTTTATAGGACTAAGTCCTTGAAAGAAAAACTGCTGTGAAACATCTGTTTCCAGACAAACATGGCTGCTGTCGAGAACCAGTTGATTGTTTTAGGTTAGGTCGACAAGTTCAGACGAACCAGTGTCCAGTTCTTCAGTTGCGTAATGTGAAGAGACCAGACCGCTGTCTCAACGATGTTTCAAAACATCCGATCAAAACTGGTTCACCTAAAACTGTGTTCAAAACGAGGATCTTTAATTTCTCGTCAACCGGTTTGGGAAGGTTTTTGTAGCATACGTTTGTTTTTTCCTAAAAAGTATTACTGTTTCATAACATTTTTTACTTTTGACTAATAAAGACATAAAGACTTTTTATAATACCAAATCACTTGTTCTTTTACTTAATTTGAGCAAACAAACGGTTGAATATCAACCAAACCTCTAAGGCCTTACAATTGAGGGACAACAATGCTCAATTACGATTCAAAACTGTGTTTCCATTCCAGAGATGAATTCAAATCAACCAGACGTATGAGCACATCCGAGACTGAACGTGGAAGAATGTGTCACTTTCTAGAGTTTGTGGAGTCTGAAGACGTGCCACGGTAAAACTTGACGTTAGAATCTCATGTATTGCTTGCTGAAGCCTTTAACTCGCTACTTTTTATTGTTATGTAGTTAAGCCAGAATTGATCTAAATGCTACAAATTACATAGGATACTTTTTATGACATTGGTCGGCAATAACATCGCAACATAATCATACAGTGTGCACTAACATTTATTGTAAAGCACATAATATTCTAGTGATATTAATATTTTGGTCGTTAACTGAAGAGGCTCTTTTCTACAAAAACTTGCATACTGTTATTTTAATAATATTTGCTTTTTTCGATGACGTCCTCACGTGCATGTAGCTCACAGCTGAACAATGAAGTGTGAGGATTGGGGTTGACTTATCAGGACACTGAGAAATCATCTCTGGAAACCAGTCAATGTAGACATTTCGTAATCTAAATACTATATTTAAGGAGCTATTTACGACTTATAAATGTTCGCTTGGCTTACTAACATTTCTCTTTGGATTCAAGGACTTTCAGTTCATTGACTGAGGCCTCAATAGACTTGTGGATTTGTATTCAAGTCGTGGATGCTTTCACAAGAAGCGCGTGCGAGCTTGATAATCATTTGCGAGAGTGCGAAATTCGCCCCTGACAGTTCGCGAAGTAGACTGTTTTGAGATCTTAGAAATTTGTTTGAACAGTATGACTGATGCGAATTTGATATAAGAACATTAAGGTTTTAGAACAAACGCACGTACGTCTATAACATTCGAGACAACATATTCAAAACTATAACTAAAAAATACTTAGATCAACGAAGTCATCTTTACTGTATGATACATCTAATTCTGACATATTATCAGGATTCACCTTTGCCTCATCGTATATTAAGGCAAGGAGAAAGGCGACGAAGGAGAAGAACCAGAAGGCACTTGTTGTGCGGCATCTCACCGGACTCTCTCTCCTTCTCAACCGGTTCTCGAGAAGAGCGAGAGTGAGTTGTGTGTTTACAGAGACCTACAAGTGTCGACCTTCAGGGTGTGTCCATTATATACGAAAATCGGAATAAAATCAAGAAAAATATTAATTCCTTCCTGTGCTGATTCAAGTATTCATGTGTCGACTCTTGAAAACATCGAATTAAGAGATCATTGAATGGATACAATTTGGCCGTGAAAGCTGTTCTTAAATTGACCTTTTACTACATTAAGCTAACCATTTCAACACCTAAAAGGTTGTTCATAAGTACTTATTATTGCAGCCTATTTGTACAGTATATAAATGATTTGATACGGATCGCCAAGAGTTTCAACTATGTTAAATTTATCTGCTTGTTATATACCAAATAATACCTTTATTTGGGTAAAGGGTGCTTGCTTGAACTCTTTATAAGTGAAGTTATACAGTGCTGTCAACTAGAAAAATGACTTTGGTGGAATGCAAAATATAACTAACTAATATAACCAGTCAAACTAGTGCTCACGTTAAGAATAAAGCTAGTGAAAATTGCATGAAAAGCACTTGGGTTTGTCGGCACATTGAAGTACCAAGTATCAAGATAATAGCTTAAAATATCTGAATCTTGGTTTTGTAACTGTGATATTTTCAATTTCTACCATTATCACACTATCTATTTATAGGATAGTTTAAAACAACAAGAGAATAGATTACCTTCAAACTTTCAAAGTATTAATCGTTCAATTCTCGTACCTGAAACATAAAGAACACAGATTAGTAAAACCGTAGGTAAAGGATAAACTATTGTTTCTTATATTCCTTATATCTTATATCAACTATATCCGGTTTTAAATTAATATATAATTTACTAGATCTGTATTTTTAAGACTTAGTTCCTACTGGCACCAGTATTTAGAACATGCTATATGAGTAGGTTTTATTTGAGATTTTTTAGTATATGTTTTAAAAATGTTTTTTAAAAATATATCTTTTGTATTCATATTTTCAAAGATATGTATACAAAAAATAGTTTTTTGATGTGTTAATTTAAGTCTCATTTATATGTGTTTGGACACAACTTCAGTTGCTGTCAATGTATGTTAAACTGATTTTTTTTATGTGTTATATACATGTAGGTTAGGTCTTTGCATGAGACTGTCATTAGGGTTTCTGTAAACGTGTACGTTTAGGTCGTGATTGTATATAAGTTTGTCCGTGTATAAAAAAAGTGTTGTGTATGTGTAGTTTCTGTCTGTCAAATTGGTTGTCTATGTGCAGCTTTTGTCTTGTATATGTGAAGTTTGTGTTTGAATACAATTGTTTCTGTTAGAGTGTTTCTGTATCTGTGTAGGTTGTGTCTGTATACAAATGCTTCTGTTCAAGTGTTTCTGTATGCGTGTAGGTTGTTTCTGTATACAAAAGTTTCTGTCAGAGTGTTTCTGTATCTGTGTAGGTTGTGTCTGTACACAAATGTTTCTGTATTTGTGTAGGTTGTGTCGGTATACAAGTGTTTCTGTATCTGTGTAGGTTGTGTCGGTATACAAGTGTTTCTGTATCTGTGTAGGTTGTGTCGGTATACAAGTGTTTCTGTATCTGTGTAGGTTGTGTCGGTATACAAGTGTTTCTGTATCTGTGTAGGTTGTGTCTGTATGCAAGTTTTTCTCTCAGAGTGTTTCTGTATCCGTGTAGGTTGTGTATGTATACAAGTCAAGTGTTTCTGTCAGAGTGTTTCTGTATCTCTGTGGGTTGTGTCTATATACACAAATCTTTCTGTATTTGCGTGGGTTGTGTCTGTATACACAAATGTTTCTGTATCTGTGTAGGTTTTGTCTGTATGCAAGTGTTTCCCTCAGAGTGTTTCTGTATCCGTGTAGGTTGTGTATGTATAAAAGTCAAGTGTTTCTGTCAGAGTGTTTCTGTATCTGCGTCGGTTGTGTCTGTATACACACATATGTCTGTATCTGTGTAGGTACACAAGTGTTTCTGTATCTGTGTAGGTTGTGTCTGTAGAGTGTTTGTGTAGGTGAATGCGTGGAGCGAAACAGTTCAAGGTCGACCGTAATGAGTTTGCGGTCCACGTCTACAATTACTAGAGTAGAGCGAGAGCGCGAGGAGAGGAAATTAGCACTTCTAAACACCACATTCACTCTCCACCCAAACCAGATAATTGGTCATAGAAAATAAATACATAGAAACAGCTAAATAGTATAGCAGGCATACTACACAAACTGATTAAATATCACTTTTGAATACTTCACGTGCTTCTGTATTTGACGATGGCAATTTAATGTGAATTTCATCTTCAATGGGTTTGATAGGTATTCATATTTAGAGCTATTACTGTATTTGGTTACACATAAAATATGTAATTGGGGTTCTTAGGGTGATGTAGGCTACTTAAAAATGATGTACAGCAAATTTACTCAATAAGTTATTACAGTACCATATTCTAAATTAAAAAGTACATGCGCCAACAAAAGGTTATGTAAATTCTATTGTTATTGATTTCTTCCCAAAATATCCAACACTTTGAAACCATAGCCAACTATGCCAAAATTATATAATTATAATATAATATATAGTCAGAATGACATCGTGTGTGGCATGAAGAAAGTAGACCATAGGCACTTGTAGGCATCTCACCACAATAAGTAGTGCTTGCCCTTTAATAAGTGCCCGGGTTCCTTCTGGATTATTAAACGCGGAATGAACGATTTAAAAACACTTGAGAAAATCTTGTGTGACGACTCCACCAGATTCACTTTCCCAGGACACCACGACAGGTAGGAAGAGTTTATGATAGACTTTGCTGACAGGTCAAGGCGACTGGGTTCAAAGGTCGCGACTTCAGTTCGTCCCACCGTACAGGTCTCCACTCTACAGCTATGAGCGACGTACCCAGCAGGTATTTTGGAAAGCAAGACTAACGTTGAATCGTGGAAGGATGTAAAGGTTGATATCTACTATAAGAAATGTCTGTGCTTGTCACATGCGGCACAACCAAAATGGCTCCAACAAGCAAGGAAATGTGTGGGAATAAATCTAGTGAAAAGCACTTCCATCAGCTGGGTTAGAATGAAAACAATAATCCAACTAACTACTATCTATTGCAACCTTTTTGTAGATGGCTATTGCCAACAGTTTTTGTACATACTATAGTCAATTGTATTGTAGATTCAGTTGCCAACAGTGTTTGTAGATTCTATAGCGAATTGTATTCGTAGACGCTATTGCCGCTATTGCCAAGAGTATTTGTAAATTCTATTGCCGCATGTCTTTGAAGATTCCTTCAATGTCCTCCTCCTCTAATAAAGTTTTGTACATAGTCGAGAGCCTGTAAAGTTTGTCTGTCTTGTGAGAGAACACACATTTACCTCAGCCACACGTATGATTAAATACTCTAAACTGAGCCATGTTTCCTATAGTTGAAATGTGTTATGCTGCTCTTAAATTATTCCCATTAATTCTTCTCTTATTTTATACATTTTTGTCGTACAAGAAATTTCATACAGTCTTAATATAGGTTTAACGTGGATCCAGAAACACCTTGTAATATTTAGCGGTCGAAAGAGCTCTTAGCAGTCAGAAAGGCCTTACATTCTGCACTTAGGTAATCAAAAATAGTGTTATAGAATGAGCATGGTTCTGCTGCTTGGATTTCGTATTTTTAATATCTCATAATACAAAAAATATGAAAAAAATATCCTTCCATACATTCCAAACACTTATAACAAAAGAGGTTTCACCTTCATATTCCGTAAAGGATTGTGAACTACAGTATGTAGGACCTTTTGTTATCTCTCACAAAACGTTCACTTCTTCCTTTTCCATCATTGCTTAGACTATATGTAACAAATGGTTTTAAAAACAGCAATACGTTCATAATGATGCAACTACACTTGTGTTTCCTACATAATTTCCAAACTCTTTTTGTCACCCTTCCCTTTCACCTAATTTGGTTACTACACCATACTCAGCACACTGCCATTTTATTAAGTCAACAAAACCTGAAGCGCGTGCGTGCACTTACGATAATAATCGACAGAAAAAATTAACAATGCGAGCATGTTCGAGGGTTGCCGAAGAGACCCGAGGCTGAGCGAAGACGTTGGCATCGATTTGAGCTTTCTCTCAGCAAAAAATTCTATACCTTACTCAGTCCATTGTTATCACAACATAATTTTGACTGTCGGGTTACTCTAAAGAATTTAGTTTTGCGTACTTGTTTGTTTTATATTTTAAAATTTAATTACGAAACATATAAATTATTTAAATATTCAATAGATTCAGCTAAGTGGTTGTTATTTAGTTAGCTATTTTAACCTATCTTGCCTACAGAGATGGGTTCACAAAAATGACTTTCGTTGTACGTACTATTGTGGATTATTATTCTATCTGAACATACTTAGGAAAGTATGGAATTATCTTACTATTATCTTAAGTTATCATGGCTGGGTAGCGCTGTGGATAGTACTTGTCTGGTAACTATACTGATAAGATCGCCTGTTCAATCCTGCGAAAATACATTAGTTTTTTGATGGTTCGAAACTGGGTGGGCCAAACTGTCATTAATCATTGGTATTTTCATAAAATTGTTGTATCTAAAGAACCAGGTGAACTTAGACAGTAACAAAGCTGTCATCTTATTCATTCAATCAACATTCATACCTAGTGAGGTATAATGATAAGTGTGTCTTCGCCTTAAAATGAACACTCTAGTGTTTCACCGTTTTTAAATTTTAAAACCTACTCCAATAAACGTCGCTGTCTGCTGAATGTAGAACGCACAGTAACCGCTGTGGGGCAGGGCGCGCCGTCCTTGGGTCTGCTCCACTTACCGTCTAGGAAGCGGACATCTACACGGCGCGGCGCATGCGTACAACTCGAGCGCCTGATGACGAGTGGTGTAGGCCAATCGAAACGCCAGGTACAGTATTACGATGGGACAGTTTGCGAATGACTGCAATCATTTCGTTACTTCGATGTTTACATAGGCTAGTTGAACTGGAATAATTTGGCAACATTTGTAATATTAGTGATAGTAAATACCTAAAAATTGTTGGAAAACTAAAAAAGGCAGAGTAGTGAAAATCAAGCTCCTGTAGTTATCTAGTTCAAATAAAATGACCATAATCTACATTCTCGTTTTGGTAGATATACGAGTAAGGCAACTTAGCATACAATGGGATTCAGATTATTACCTATTGTTTCAACCATGCTGATTTACTGTCGAAAATGCAGAGCGTGCTTTAAACGGGAACAATGTGAAAGGTCAGTTTGGCTCAATGACACGAAATGATGATTTCATAAGAACTTTAACATAAACAATGAGTAAAGATATTATTTAATTTATTTTAAATTGTTATATCTACATCACTGCCATCTAGAGATGTTGGGCATACAGTTAAAACATTTCAGAGACTTTTGTAATAATACCAACAACCCAGCATTTATAATTATGAACTAGAATATTTAGAATCCAACTAAGAAACAAATAATATATATAATTAATTATCGTAGTCTTATAATCAATTCATTTAGTTTTTTTTTACTGTTTGAATATAAGTATTACGGCAAAACACAGAAGAAGTTTGTTTTGTAGATCGATATGTATTCAAAAGAAAATAAATATGAATCAATAACAATAGCTAAGTATAGATTTACTAAGCGCATTTATTATATTTAGTGAGTATCAAAGCTGTACTGATATCTAGTATATCTAATATGTTGCAAAGCCTAAAGATATCACCACG